GTGTGAAGTTATTTTGGGAGTTGGTGGCTCCCCTGGGTCTTTCCCAAGCGCCTTGGCGGGATGAGACTCTTTGGAAGCCAGTGGACTCTGTGCTGCCTGAGGCTGAGGGGAGTGTGGTTCAGGGACACGGCACAGACTTCCTGGTGACAGAGGCTCAGGCAGTGGCCAAAGCCTGTCCCTGAGGACTCTAGAGACGACGGCTCATTCCCAGCCATGGGCACAATATAAAACTTATTTTCTTTCTCTTTATCTCTTCGTTATATTTTATTTTTTGAGACAGGATCTCATTTAACCTAGGATGGCCTCCAACTTGCTATGTAGCCAAGGATGACCTCGAATTTCAAATCTTCCTGCCTCTACCTCCAGAGTACAGGAAGGTTGGGTAAACACCAATCATTCCCAATTTATACAGTTTCGGGGATGAAACTCAGGGCTTCATGCATGCTAGGCAAGCAGTCTATCAACCAAGCCACACCCACAAACCCACTTAAAAAAAAATGACTGTGTAACCTAGATATGCATGGAACTCAGTCTCCCCTAGATGTCTCTTGACTGCAGGAACCATAGATGTGAACCATCACAATTGTCACGTAAATTTTCTCAAATGTTTAAGAAAAATAAAAAAGATTCATGGGGTGCTAGGGAGACAGCTTGGTGGGTAAAGTGCTCACTATGCAAGCATGAGGACCTGAGTTTGATTCCCCAGCACTCATGTAAAAGCACACCTATAACCTCAGAGCTGGGGGTAGGGATGGGCAGATCCCTGGAGCCAGCCAATTGGTGAGCTGCAGGTTCAATAAGAGACCCTGCCTCAAAAACAAAACAAAACAAAATAAAAGAACTAGTAAGGTGGAGAGTGACAAAGGAAGCCACTTGATGTGGACAACCTCAGACATTCATGGATACACACACATGCATATACCACACTTACATGAACACACACACACTTAAAATTTTTTAAATATTTTTTATCTTATTTTTCGCTGCATAAGTGTTTTGCTTGTGCATCATATATACAACTGGTACCTGCAGAGACCAGAAGAAGACATCATATCTCCTGTAGGTGGAGCCACAGAAGGTTTGTGAGCCACAGTGTGGGTAATAGGAATTGCACCTCTCCAAGAGCAGCCAGTGCTCTAAACTACTGAACTACCTCTCCAGCTCCCTCCCCCAACGTTTTCTAAGTGCACAGAATAAATTTTAATTATATACTTCACCTAACCCAGTATGTCAAAACTTTATCATTTAAACATGTAATCAATATAAAAATCATTACTGTGATAATTACCGGAAGATAGTAACCGCACAAATTTGTGGGCGTTACAGGGACATTTCCATTCCTGCGTGAGTCATGGGTTGATCTCAACTACCCCCCCTTTCCTACCCACTTCCTACTCCTTCCCCAGCTCTTACCATCCTTAATGCTCCCCTTCTTTATGATTTCTGGTCTTTTTGGTTTTTGGGGTTTCGTTTGAAAGAAAACATGTAGCACTTGTCTCTCTTTTTACATTTTTTTTTTTAATTTTGCTTTGTTTTTGAGACAAGGTTTCATATAGCTGGGGCTGGCCTTGAACTTCTGATCCTCAGGTGCTGTGCTAAGTCAGGCCTGGTGATACATGACTGTGATCTCAGCACTCTGGAGGCTGAGGCAGAAGGATCTCAGAGAACTCAAGGCTAGCTGGGGCTGAGGAATGAGACCAGCCATGTCTCAAAAAAGGGGAGGAGAGGGCTGGCCATGTGGTACTGGGAACAGAGCACTTTCCTAGCATGCATGAAGTCCTGGGTTCCATCCCAGCACCACATGAACCAGGCATGGTTGTGCACACCTGTAATCCGGGCACTCAGGAGGTGGAGGAAGGAGGATCAGGAGATCAAGGTCATTCCCAGCTACAAAGTGAGTTCCAGGGCAGCCTAGGCTACATATGACTCTGTCTCCAAAGGAAGAAAGGAAGAGATTATTAACACCAACTTGCATGCCTTTTGTCCTGATTTCAGAATCTAGTGTGTGCTACACACTCACATCTCCATGTAACATTTCGGATGCTTAATGGATGCATTCTGTCAGTCTCTCCCTCTGCAATACAAACTACATAAACACAGGCAGTTGGCCTTGCTTTCCCAGGATCTACACATACACCGACTTAGTTGGTGCTCTATTAACACCCTAGCTGGGCTTTGTGTGGCAATGCACAAGTGTGTGACCTTTGCACTCAACAATTTGAATCTTCATTATTCACATTCAGGAAAAAAAAAAAAAACTGGGTTTGGCTGTGCCCACCTGTAACTCTGGTGCTGTGGGGGAATAGCGACCTGAGTGTCACTGAGGCTTGGGGCTACCATCCTAGCTCCAGGGTCACTTACAGACCCTGTCTCAAAGGAATAAAGCAGCAAGTAACAGAACAGGACGTCTGACATCATCATCACCCTCTGGCCTCAGCATGCATGCATGTGTGCGTGCGCATGCACACACACACACACACACACACTAAAATAAAATTGGGGCTGGAGAGATGGCTCAGTCACTATGAGAGTGTTGCTCTTGTACTGGAATTAGGTCCCCAACATCCAGCTCACTGTGAGGGATGATTCACAGCTACCTGTAAATCCAGTTCCAGGGGATCTAATACCCTCTTCTGTCCTCCACAAATACCCCCAAAGCACACACATGCATAAACACACACACACACACACATACACACACACTTTAGAATAAAATAATACTCTCATCTGGTGACTCTCCTTGGTTCTGGGCCAGTCCTCAGAATTCCTGCACCTACATCTTTAGGACAGCTTGAAAGGGATCCCCCAGACACTTGGCTGTCTGATTATATTTGCAGCTCTTCCTTCCTCCAATCCAGCCCCCAGGTCTGTTTATAGCTCTGGCAGCCTGCGGTGTCCCTGGAGCCTAGCATGCATCTGGAGTAAATATTTGGCTCCCTCCAGGTCAGATGTTAGTGGCTAGGCAGAGCATGGCCTAACCTGTCTGCTTCAGTGGCCTGCTCCTGTTGTGTCTGTGTCCCTAGCAACTCTCTGTGTGTCATTCCTCAAAGATGGCTGTACCTTGGGCTCATTTACTGTTAGCATCGGATGAATTAGTTTTCACAGCCCAGCCTCTTGTGCTTTGGATGGTTGGGAGGGAATCCCTTTTCCACCACCCCCATCTCCCACCCCTGCTTCCGTCACCATCCTCTCCTGCCTCATGCCATTACTGACTTGGGTATCTGGGCATCTTCCTTTGACTTGGCTCCTTACTGCCCCCTGGAGGCTGTTTACAGCAACAGCCCACACAGGCCAGCAAGTGGCCTATTTCTCCATCCACGAAAGGGAAGGTTCTAGTCCAGCAGGGCTATGAACAATGTGAACACTCTTTGATGATTGCAAAGCTTATGGATTAATTGTAAGTTTGGCCCAGAAACTGAAGGTGTAGCTGAGAAAAGGGGATTCCTCTTCATTCTGTCTCCCCCAAGCCTTTTAACATGCTGGTCTCACTGTGAAAAACCCTCGTGCGAGTATACCAGCCCTCTTTCCTCACAGTCAGCTATGATGCCACCTCTTCCAGAAAGTCTTCCTAACAGTTCAAATTTAGCCCAGGTATATCTTCATTCCCCCTTCTTTTTATTTACTTATTTTTCTTTTTCTTTTGAGATAGGGTCTCGATATGTGATCCTGGGTGTCCTGGAACCCCTATGCAGACCAGGCTGGTCTCAAACTCATAGAGGTCCACCTGCCTCTGACTCCCTAGTGCTGAGATTAAAGGTCCCACCACATGTGGCTTTTTCTTTTCCATATTCCCTCCTCCTCCTCTTGTTCTTCTGGTTGTCCCTTTTTGAGAAAGGGTGTCACTCTGTAGCCCAGGCTAGCCTCCAACTTTAATCCTCCTGCCTCAGCCTCCCGTGTCCTGAGATTATAGTTCTGGGCCACCACACCCAGATTGTTGTTGATTTGGGCAGCTCCCCCCCACCTTCTGACTCCTGTTCATTCTGCAACACCCACCCTCAGTGTCTCCTCCTCCTGGAAGCCAACCCGATAGACCCCCATTCGATGAGCAGCCGTGCTTCCAGGGGATGGTCCAGCACTATGTTTAGGGTGGGGACTCAGACACACTGGTGGCTTCAAACCCCAGTTCGGTGATGCCCTAGCTGTGGATCTGTGCTCTTGAATCTCTTCCAGACCATGAATTTTAGAACCAACCCCACAGGTTGTCAGGTACAGAAATGCATGTAAACTGCCCAGCGGGTACCTTGCAGAGAGCAAGCCTGGGCTATGCATAGTGACCCTTTCTTAACAACAACCTGGTTGTAGTGGTACAGATCTGTAACCCCAGCACTGAGAAGGCTGGAACAGGAGGATGGAAACTTGGAAGCTAGCCTGGGCTACATAGGGACATTCTTTTTTTTTTAATTTATTTTTTAGTTCTAGTTAGGGAACAAGCTTGTTTCACATGTAAGTCCCTTCTCCCTCCCCTCACCCCCATCCCTCCTCCCTCCACCCCCCCCCACCACCC